CATTTCACAGCAGCCCAGGCTGCCCAGGGCCCCATCCAACCTGGCCTTGAACACCTCCACGGATGGACGGGGCATCACAGCCTCTCTGGGCAGCTGTTCCAGCACCTCACCACTCTCACAGCACACAACTTCCCCCTGACATCCAACCTCCATCTGCCCTCCCTCAACTCCAAACCATTTCCCCTTGTCCTGCTGTTCTCTCCCCTTTTCCAAGAGCTGCTCCCTCCCAACTTGGGCTGCTCTCCAACTCGCTTTAAGCCCACTGCGCTGGGTTGTGCTGCGTTCCCATCAGGTCACTGCTGGGCGTTGGCGTGGCAGTGAGGAACAGCAGCATTAATCCTTAATCTCTAGATCCCCGCCAGCAACGTGACCCACGTCAGCCCTTCCCAGATGGGTGTGCAGGGGGCTGGATCTGCCTGTACCCCCCACAGCTCTCCCCTTTTCCTCCAGTCCTTTGACGAGAGCGGCCGCCGCACTGCGGGCCCCGCCGCCATGCCCAGCACCGTTGGGTTCTGCCTCTTCTCCGGCCTGGATGATGGCATGGGTTATGGCTGTGTGGAGGGCATCTTGGACTGCTGGCACCAGGAGGGCGTGGAGAACAGCCAGGACGTCCTGAAGGTAATGGCAGGCCTGCCTCAGCCCTGCTGGCTCTTCTCTGTGGGGTTTTGGGTTGTAGCTGGGCTCTTCCTTGCTAAAAGTCAGTCTGGGCAGAACTGTTCAGGGATATCCCCAGTGACATCCATTGTTGAAATGGTGTGTATCTGAGAGCCAAAAGTTAATGATGGGTGTAATAGGGCTTCCAGCTTAGCTCAGAGAGGTCAGCTGTGTTTGTAGAAAGCAATCTGCCTTTACATTGCTGAGTATGGCACCTGCAAACCTGTTAGTGCTCACATGGCCTGGATTAAGGCTTATGCAGGAACCAAGAGCAGCATTTGAAACCTGCTGAGTCCTTCATTACAAGCTAGTGCTTTATTACCCATTTGCTCTGTGTATTGTGAATCAGGTGCCTGAAGTCAATCCCTTCCCTTCCAACCCTGCTAGAAGCTGTGCATGGGGTCAAACACTCACACGTGCTCGTTCCTAGAGCATCTCTGAGTTGCTGGCAATGGTAACAACAGTTTTCTCTTAGCATTTCCAGTCTGTGTGGATTTTGCACATCCAGGCTGCCGTAAACACTTTATCCAAAGCTCTGTCATTGCTCTCTAGCAAATAAAACCCAGCTGGAGTTTGCATGCATGCAATTCAGCTCTCTAACAGTGCTATGTGAGCCAGACTTGTATGGTAAGCCTTTAGCTTACCTCCTGCCTGTTGCTTTCTTCCTGGCTTGCTGTGTTTTGCAGTGTGTGTGCAGAGTATTCCATCTGTCCTGCTTTGTGCTGAGGGAAATCCCAAGCACTTATCACAGTAACTTTCTGATAGAGGTGGAGACCTCACAGGGAAAGACCTCTTCTGTATTGCCTCTGTTGCACACACTCATTCTTTTACTGGGAATGCTTTCAACCCCTTTTTTGCAGCCTTTGAATATTTTAAAAGGGCACTGCAATTAGGCCCACCAGAGAGTTGATACTTTAGTCAAGCAGGACCTTCATTTCCAGCTGGTCTTGCAGCATCATCGTGGTGTTTTCCATCGCTGCAGCTGGCAGCAGCACTTCAGTGTAGGAAGATGCCAGAGGTGTCTCTTGTAGTACCCAAAGCCATTCACAGCAAGCACAGATCTCATCTGAGCCTGTTCAGTTCGTTCTGTCAGTCTGTGTCCAAGTGCACAAGAAAGCACATTCTGTTCTAACACTGGATTGTTTCACAGGCTTTGGATTTCGGCTTGGATGGGAAGGTGAACCTGACCGAGCTGACACTGGCACTAGAAAATGAGCTTCTAATAACCAAGAACAGCATCCACCAGGCAGCCCTGGCCAGCTTCAAGACAGAGATCAGACACTTGCTGTAAGTCATTGGGATCGCTGGTTCTGCTTTTCCCTTTGGTTTGTTCCCCTGTCCATCTGTATGCCATGCATATAAGCTGCAGCTCTAAGCAGTGTTGAGTTTTCTGCTGCCTATCTTGAAATACTGTCCTTGGTTATCCATCAACCTGTGCATCCACCACAGATCCACGCATCCATGCAGCAGCTGGTCTTTAAACCTGCAGGTGTTACCCACTGGCTTGTGTAACTTGTGCCTCTCAGCTCCCCACGTCTCCCCTATGGCTGCAAGATGGGGCAGGCCCAAGTGTTCCCATTTCCTTTGCCCTAGGGAGCGAGTTGACCAAGTGGCCAGAGAGAAGGAGAAGCTGCGCTCGGATTTGGAAAAAGCTGAAAAACTGAAATCTCTGATGGCTTCTGAAGTTGATGACCACCATGCAGCAATAGAGCGCCGCAACGAGTACAACCTCAGGTATGGTGTTGGGTCACCCCATGGGTGACAGCAGCTCCTGCTTATCCTGAGCATTGCTGCAGGGTAGCACTGTAAGTGCCTGGGGCTGGAGCCTGGGGCAGGAGTGAGCACCTGAGGTTTGGCTGAAATGCAGCCTGAGATTGTCCTGTGGCTGGCCAAGCTGAAGCAGTCCTGTGCTGTTCCTTCCCCACCTGCCAGACTCATCCATGGGTCTCAGGTGGTGCCAGCCCCATTCCATCTCTCTGCTTCCCACCCCGGTGTCTGTGCACACCACTCACCTTCCCCATTATGAGGTGCATGTGGATGTCAAACTTCAAATATTGACATCTCTGGCTGCAGAAACAGCAGCCTGAATCCCAAAATCCTGGCCAGGCTGTAGGCTGCACATCTAAAATGTCTCTGAGCCGTGCAGTTAATCCATGCTTCTCCAGGCAGCAGTCCCTCCTGGTGCAGGCACTGATAGGAGCAGCGCCGATTACCGCCCAGCTTAACTCACAGCAGTATTTGCCTGCTGCTTTTCCTGAGCTTTTCTTACCTTTGATCCCTTAATAGGAAGCTGGATGAGGAGTACAAGGAACGAATCGGCGCTCTGAAGAATGAGCTGCGGAAAGAGCGCGAGCAAATCCTGCAGCAGGCTAACAGACAGCGGCTGGAGCTGGAGCAGGAGATAGAGAAGCTGAAAACTGATGAGAACTACGTCCGTGACCGCCTCACACTGTCCCTGAAGGTAACAGAATGAATGGACCCTGAAGTGGGGAGCAGTGCTGCGATTAGCTCCTTAATCATAGGATCTCTGCCGGAGTGAGTTGAGCTGAGTGAAAGTAGGCGTAGCTGCAAGGTAAGGGCATCAGACTCAGTGGCCCTTATGAGTCCCTTCCAAGTCATGGAATCATAGAATTGGAAGGGACCTCGAGGATGCCACATGGAGGGCCACCAACTCGGGGTGTTTCATTCTGTATCTGTGATGGCGTTTTTTGGATCACCTTGATTGGTTCCTGTTTGGGCTCATGGGGCTCCATTTCAAATGGTAAAGCAAGCCTGCTTATTTCTTTTGGAAAGCTCTTTTCTGCCTACCAGTTCTGCCTTCCAGTCTTTCACCTGTGACCCCACACACTCACATCCTTCAGCCTTATTATTTTTTAGGAAACACTTAAATCACAGCCAGCTTTTCTCTGAAGCTGACAGCTGCTGAATCATAATGTAATGCTTTGGATTGTTTGTAAGCTCATCACAGGAGAAAGATAATGGTGTTACCTTAGGGGCATCACAGGCACTGACAGTCAACACGCTGTGTTGAGGAGAGCAGCTTCTAAGCAGGCTGGCTGCCCTGTGAGCATCGAGGGAGCTGTAAAACACTCCTGAAGCAGCAGTTTGAAAGAGAGAGGAGTTGGGGTGTGTTGGGACCACCAGCAGCTGCTTTTTTGTGGCGAGAGGGATTGTGTGTGTTTGAAGGGTGGAAAACCAATGCGCAATTCCCACTGCTGGCTGAAACTCATAACAATGTCAGGCTCTAACTTGACTCTCTAATGAGCCATTGCTTGCTATTGCTTTCTTTCTGCAATTGCTGAGGCTGCTGGGTTCTGTTTGGTGCAGGAAAACAGCCGTCTGGAAAGCGAGCTCTTGGAAACTGGAGAAAAGCTGGCTGAGTATGAAAGCCTGGCAAGCAAACTGCAGAGGAACTTGGAAAATGTCCTGGCTGAGAAGGTAAAGCCTCCTCTTACCAGCACGTGCTCCCAATTGCCCAACTCATTTCCAGTGAAGGAGATCACAGATCCTCCAGCTTGCCTGTAGTTCAGTTAAAATCGACAGTGGAGAGGAACATGGCAAAGCAATCATTCCATGGGTCTGAGGGGTGTTTTGGTGTTGTTTTTTTTTTTTTTATCCCCTTTGTAATTTTGGATATATCCAATCTGCAGATCCTTTCTAGGGCAGCTCATATCACAGAATCCTAAAATGGCCTGGGTTGCA